CGAATTCACGTCTACTTGCTCCTTAATACCTGCTTACTTCAGAACATGGGGAAAAGCCCTTGGCTTGGTGAAAGAGCAGGCCCATGTGCTTATCTGATGAACTCCCCTGTAAAATGCTTCCCCCATGTGACAAGAAGCATGTATAACAGCCCTTGAGGAGAGGGGCCTGAATAACCAAATCCAGCTACTTATTGGTGATGGGTGCCAATTACTTTGGTTTTGTTTTTTTACAAAGATGCGTTCCACTAACTTAAAGGGATACTGTATTTTTAAACAAGTGATTTTTTATTTCTCTCTCCTTATAAAACTGGACCTGAACACAAGTTTTGAGTTGATTTTTTTTTGTAATAATCTCAGGACCTGAAAGATTGTAGCATTTAGTGTGTCTTAAAAATTATGTACTGTACCAGCCATGGATTTTGTAAATACACGTGTCTCCCTTTTTTTCTATTATTTTAGGGTTTTTTTTAAAGAAAGTGTGTAAGGCTCTTTGCCAGAGGAACTGGTGCCTGCTTAATTTCCATCCTGAACTGGAGCAGGAAAATGGGGGAGCTGCTGCCACAAAAGCCTGCACCAGTTCCAAATGTGTATGCTTGCTGATCAGTTTAATACATGCTAGCCATTTAACTGGGAAGCTAGAGTTTCCTGTGTGCATTCCCAAGTGTGGTTGGCAGTGCTTTGTCCACCTGGGAGGTTCCTGATAAAACTCTTCACCTTGATACTGTGATGTTTTCCCTTTCCTCCCAAATATTCAGGTTTATTGTCCTACCTTTTGCAGGACAGTTCAGTTTTTTTTTTTTTTGACAGGTCACATATCTGACATTCTGCAAGAATAGCTGGTGGAACATAATTCCTTTTATCATACTTTGGTCCTGCAGGATAAAATTGCAGAGAAGGCAGTGCTATCCCATAACCACATATGTGCACTCACTCTTGCAGATCTTAGTGGGGTAACTGAATCTACTGAACCTGCCTCACAGGTCCCAAACATGTTCTGACCCTTCCTACTTTCACTGTCCTAAACAGGGTGCTGAGATTTTTTGGCAATAGGCTTGCTCTGAGATTCCAAGTGTAGCTAGCAGACCTGTGTTCTAAAGTAAGAGCCTTATTTAATTGAGTGTAGATGTTTCCTGTCCTTAATTGGGACAGGGTTCTTTTTCATGAGTGTATTTTTCTTTTGTATGTGTCACGTGTCTGTGCTGTATTAAATAAAGAGGAATGTACATATTAGCAGTGTGTGTGGTTGTGAGATAGATAACTTCTCAGTATCATAAAGACTGGACTATTTACATCTATCTAAGCTTTCCGCTGTAGCTGCCTTCATTCCACGTGTTGGTTCAAATAAGTTACAGTTTCATCAGCGACCCACTGCCAGGTAACATGATCAATCCCCCACTGTTGGGGGAAGAACGCCTCAGCTTCAGCCTGCAAGCAGCAATAATGGGACAGAGCGGGAGGAAGATTCACAACTCCACCGGGCGGGGGGGGGGGAGGACTGGTAGCTATGATTAAATAAACGTGTAAAGACAGGGGTGTTAAACTACATCTTATCTCCCCCCCCCCCCCAGGGCTGGCTCTGCACACGGTGGCGGTGCTGGGCCGCTAGGTCTTGTTCTCAGCTTTGCTCTAGCGCCCGCCCCCCCCCCCCGGCTGTAGCTAATCTGCTCGTTTCTGACACTGAAGAAGAGCCCTGCGCTGAACTTCGATTGGCCCATCAGTGTTCGCCCAGCCCGCCTGCGGCTGCAGAGGGGCGAGCCTTAAATTAGCCCGGGGAAATGTCGGCCCGGGTTTGGTTGATCAATTAACCCCGACCCCGCGCGTCAGAAGCTGCTGACCGTGCCCCAGAAAACTCAGTCCGCCCGGGGCTGGTAGCGGGCTGGGTTGGGGGCGAGCTGAGCAGCGGTGCCGCTTGCTCCCCTTACGGGCCACCCAGCATGCGGCAGCCGGGGGCGGCGCCGGGCGGGGCACGACCTCCCGGCCGCGGCGGCGGGCGCCCGGTGGTGGTCCTGGCACGCAGCGGGGCCGCCCGCTTTGCTCCGTGGCCTCCCCAGTTCAACGCCGGGGCCAGGTTCCAAGGCCACGCACCGCCCCCAGCGCCATCATCGCCGCACGGCCTTCGGGTAAAACTACACTTCCCGGCGCTCCGTGCAAGGAGAGCGGCCGTTCCCATGACGTAGTGCGCCTCGTTGGTGTGCAGACACGATACGTCCCAGAAGGCTGTGCGCACAGCTTCCTGTCTACAGCTCACAGGAGAGTGCTACTAGATTGGCCAATCGGCGTGCATTAAAAGGAGGAGGGGTCGGATGAAGGGAGAAATGAAGGAAGGAAGAATTGCGCTTCGTGGGAGCCCCAGTGGCCTAATGGATAAGGCATTGGCCTCCTAAGCCAGGGATTGTGGGTTCGAGTCCCATCTGGGGTGAAAAACATTTTTTTCCCCTTCCCCAAATTGTTTAGCCGTTTGCTCGGGACAAGTCTTTGCACAAGTGTGCTTTCAACGCGGGGAGTGGACTGAAGTCACTAAAAGAGACTTGTGCCCAATAGAGCCTTATGCATAACGCTGAACACTTGAAGTGTAACAGCTCGCCCTCCCAGCGGAGAGTGTCTTTGACTGACTGCCCCACAGTGGGGGGAGGAACCACACTCCATCTTACTGAACCTGAGCAACATACAGTTGTGTCAACGCCAAGCATTTAAATATCATTGGTTTGGTTTCAAACTTATGAGACTTTATTAAACGTGGTTTTTTTTATTTACCCACATCCCAAAAAGCAAATGAAAATAACCCAAAATGTCTAATTTTAAAGTTTTTTTAGCGCTTGAGGTTGATAATATTATATGGTGATCAGGTTCAATAAGATAGACCCCTCTGGTTGCCCACCCCCTCCCCCACTCTGGGAACATAGCTTTGGGCAGATTCAGCAAAACAAGTTGATTGGTTCATTAACAAGTGGAAGACAAAATATATGGCTATCAATGTCCCAAAAGCAACCATTAGACTGGATGAAGAACCACTAGAAAACAGGTGGGCAAACTTCTTGGCCGGAGGGCCGCATCTGCGAATAGAAATTGTGTGGCGGGCCATGAATGCTCAGAAAATGGGGGTTGGAGTGAGGGAAGGGGTGAGGGCTCTGGGATGGGGCCACAAATGAGGAGTTCAGGGTTTGTGAAGGGGCTCGGGGCTGGGGGGGTGAGGGCTCTGGCTGGGGGTATGGGCTCTGTGGTGGGACTGGGGATGAGGAGTTTGGGGAGTAGGAGAGTGCTCCAGGCTGGGACTGATGGGTTTGGAGGGCAGGAGGGGAATCAGGGCTGGGGCAGGGGGTTAGGGGAGCAGGAGAGGCTCAGGGGTGCAGGCTCCACGCAGCGCTTACCTCAGGCAGCTCCTGGAAGCAGCAGCATGTCCCTTCTCTGACTCCTATGTGGCGGTGCAGCAAGACAGCTCTGCACGCTGCCCCATCCACAGGCACTGCTTTGTGGTTCCTAGCCAATGGGAGCTGTGGGGGCAGTGTTTGGGGCGGGGGCAGCATGTAGAGAGGAGCACCCTGGCTGCCCCTACGCGTAGGAGCTGAAGAGGGGTCATGCCGCTACTTCCAGGAGCCCTGTGGAATGGCCCCCGACCCTGCTCCCTGGAGCGCCGGAGCAGGGCAAGCCCGACCCCACTCCCCAGCAGGAGCTTGAGGGCCTGATTAAAACGGCTGGTGGGCCAGATCCAGCCTGCGGGCCGTAGTTTGCCAACTCCTGCACTAGAAGAAGTAAGTTATTTTATCTAGCTAAGGAGTGAGATGTGTAATGATGATGACACCATGCTATTTGTCACACAACAAATATAAAAAAACACCAAAAATGTTCACAAACTTGAAAAGATTTGAAAAAGTAACATGGATTGGCCCTCATACAAAAATATGTTGCTGTTTTTTTTAATGCTAGCATCTTGCCTTCCCTCCTTTATGACATCATGGAAATCTATAAAAGACGTTGATATGAAAATCAACTCATAGTAAATGTCTATGGAAGATCTTCCAAGTCCATTGGAAAGAGTTTCTTGCAACATCAGAAACTCTGAAGTAGAGCAATCAAACTGTGACATGAAGATAATTGACATATTTAGGACACACATTAAGAATGACAATAACATGACTTCTATGGCAAGTGATCATATGAACAGGCCACTTAAGACAAACATTCTACAGACCAATTGAAAAAGAAACCAAGTCCATCAACATGACACTCAGAAGCCTGAACAGACCAGCACAAGAATGAAATAAACAGCAGAAAATAATGAAGGTCCTGTCCTCCAGAGGATGAAGGGGAGAGGTGTGTATTTTTGTTTGTTTTTTTTTTTTTTGCGGCGGGGGGGGGGGGGGTGGGCGAGGGTTGATATTGTTGTTTGGGGGAGAGTTGGTGGTGGGTTTTCTTTTTTAGCTTTTAGGATTCATGTTTTTGAGGTTTTTTGCTACGTAAGAAATAGAAACTTTTAAATTAAAGCTGAGAGGCTCATGGACTCATTTGACTCCAGTGGTTGGGCTCATACAAAAACAGATAGCAAAATTCAAAATAAAATAAAAGTTAGTAACACTAGCTTGTGGCACTGAGCTGTGCACACCAGTTTGTTGCTGTAGATCTGCTCACTAGACACTAGACTGCAAACATTCATTTGTAATTAAAGTGCTACTCATCAGTCCTAAGACTCCAGGCACTCAAAATACAGCAAAGGAGGCTTAAAAATAGCTCAGATGCCTAAAGCTCATGTAAAACACAGAAGGAAAAGTGCAAGTCACTTGTTTAGCCTGGATTATTTAATTCCTGGTCTCCTGCCCCGCATGAGTAGCCCGACTCAGTGTCCCTGGCTGAGCTCGTCCCTCGCCAGCCTGCTGGAGCCACTTCGCTCTGTACGGGCAGGGTCACGTGGCAGGGTGGGCTTGTGTGTCCACACCCCGTTTGAGTCACAACGTGTTACGGGCTAATTTCCCTCCGGCGCAGCGGCTGAGGCCTGCGAGCTTGGCAAGCCAGACAAACTAAGCCGAGCTGCGCCTGCCCCGCGGTGGGGCGGTAAATGCGCCAGGCCCCTGCAGGGAAGACAGGGAAGTGGGGCGGTGCCTGGGACTCAGCGACTGACACAGGGGGCCGGGGCCCCGCCCGGCGGGATCTCTGGGCGTGGGGCACCCCGGCGCGGGGCGCTGCTGAATGACACCGCGCCGCAGCCCCCCGCCCGCAAGGCCCGGGTGCGCGGCGGCCCCGGGGACGGGACGGGCGCATTGGCGGCGCAGGGACCCGACAGCGCTGTGGGACAGCGGCCCCCTGCCCCCCCCTTCCGAACTCGGGCAATAAACGGGACGGGGGGGCACTAAATCCGCGGGGAACGAGAGTCGTTGGGGCTGGAAGCAAAGACCGCGCCAGAACCGCCGCCCCGCAACGCAGCTAGCGCGACTCCCCGAAGCTCCCTCCCTCAATTGCAAATCCGCCTCGGGGCTCGATAGTCCGCCCTGCCAGCGCTTTTGGTGGCCGCCATCATGCAACTCGGCCCTCTATAGCGCAGCCTGGCGGTGTCTCTCCTGAGGGCGATTTGCTGGCTCGTGCGGCGCCTGCTCTCTCCAGCCGCCCTCCCTGAGCGCGATGGGTAATTCAGCGCCCGATTGCGCCGCCTCCCCGGTTTTGTTTGAGTTTTTTAGCGCTCTATTGCTCTCCCCTAATTGGGGAGGAGTCGGCGCCAGATGGCTGCTTCCCATTGGCTGATTGGTGAGGCGGCTGCACCCCATTGGCTGAGGGCACAGAGAGACGGGCGCGGAGGGGGAAGATCAAGAAGATGGCGGGTCTGGGCTCGCCGGTCCGTACCCTGCGGAGCCTCGTTCGGGAGCTGCGCTACGTGAGCGCCCAGGCGGGCCGCCCCTACCGGGACACGGCGGCCTATCGGTACCTCAGGGAGGCCTTCCGCGCCCACCGGGTACGGGGCGGGACGCCGCGGGCCGAGCCTCCCCTCCCCCCCTCTCCCCGCTGTAGGAAGCTGCCGGCAACACCCCCGTGGCTCCGACCCTCCCACGTGGCCTGGGGAGCTTCGCGAAACTCCAGGCAGGGCTCCGAGGCCGTCCCCCGCCCGCACACACCACGAGCCAGGGCGGGGCGCTGCTCTCTGCTGCCCCCTGCAGCTGGAACCTGGCCGGGGCTCCGCTGCCACGTTCTTCGCCTCGCGCGGGGGCGGGGGGGGCCGCGCCCCGAACCGCCAAGTGAGGCCGCGCTCTTCGCCCGGGGGCCTCAGCCCGGGCCCTGGTTTGCCGGTTACTCGAGCCGGCTACTCGGGCGGGGCAGAACTTGGCCTCCGGAGTGGAGCTGAGTGGACACAACAGTCCCGCCGCTGCAGGAGCCGGACGCTGGCTGCGCAGCGCTCACCGGAGCGAGCACGTGGCGCTCAGCCAGCCCCCGGGTGCCGTGTTTATACACGCCCTCCCCTTGGTGGGGGACGCTGGCGGCAGAAAGGCCACTGCGGGTCTTGAACAGCAGGGGCCCTTTAGCTTGTCTGCCGGTCGGGCATGTGCTAAGCCTGTTGTCTGGCTTCCTCCTGCCTGCAGGTCACCAGTGAGAAGCTCTGCAGGGCCCAGCATGAGCTGCATTTCCAGGCTGCTACTTATCTCTGTCTTCTGCGCAGTGTCCGTCAACACCTAGCGCTTCACCAAGAGTACCACGCCAAAGGAGAGCGCTCCACTGAGGAAGCTGCTGGCCTCGTGGGCCTTAAACTGCCTCAGCAGCCAGGCGGGAAAGGATGGGATTCATAGGAAGGGAAGAGTTCACTAGAATGTTTGCCTCTCACAAGGACTTAAAAATGACATTTGCTTGTTACAATTCCTATTTATAGTTAAATAAAACAGTTTATTGAAACTTCATTTAGGTTTCCTTGCTTAGGTTTTCTGTTATTCTTAGGCTTAGATTCTCACCTGAAGGAGACACAATCTGCTTATCAGATGCTAGTTTCTGATATGACAGACAACATCCAGGGAAACAGGGCAAAACTCTCCCCTGATATGAGTGCTGATTTGTCTCATCTTCTAGAAACTTTCCTTCAAACAGTTATTTTCTAGCTGTTCTCCATGTAGTAATTGGCCCTTTTAAGAGCAAAGACAGCTTGTAAGAAAAATACCAGAGGATTCCTAAGGAGCACAAGAGGTCAAGACCTCAAATCTGTGCTTATTTGGAAAGATTTCACTAGCACGTACCACCACTGTAGCCCCTGCAATAGTAATTCAAAAAGAAGAGCACCACCTACCAAATCATCAATTTCTACTGTGGCTGGGTTTTTTAAATTTCTCCAGAGAATAAAATTGGGTTTTCTTTAATGCCTTCAATATGTTGTATATCTTAAATGTTTCACAAAAGAGGCCTGAGGGACACTTGTAAGTATGTGGATTATGAATGTAAATGTGGCTACTATTCTTTGCTTAGCATACATGCTGGGATACTAAAGGGGGGGCAAAACCCAGCAACATGCTTTCCCCTTAGTCAGTAAATCAAGGTCTTCAACCTTTCATGATCCACCCAACTTCGAAAAAAGTTCTATCCCCAACTGCCTACTTCAATGAAGGGAAGAGGGTATGAACTCCAAAGTCATGGGGTCTTCATGGAGAATGCCCTACCAACAGCTCCTCTGTTGATCTCAAGTATAGAAGTATCACACGAAGAGAGGTGGCATCTCAAGTAGAAAGGTCCCAGGCCATTTAGGGTTTGAGAAGTCAAACTACTTGAAAGCCAAGAGGCAGCCAGTGCATGTCCCAGAAAACAGATGTAATGTACTCACAGAGCTATTTTATTTAACAAGTCAGCTGCTGCATTCTGCTCTAGTTTCATCTTCCAAATGGATTTAAGGTAAAGCCTCATGCCAAGCTCATTGTGGTAGTCTGATCGAGAGATGACAAATCACTCCAGCCAGGTCTGAATCTATGAGGAAATGTTGCAATCTCTAGGCCAAACACACATGGGAAGGAACACACCTGGTTGCTTCTGATTCTATGAAAACAGCTGGAGTTTAGCCATCTTCCCCCCAACCTTCAGCGCTAAAGGTTCCAGTATTTGGGAGGGTTCAAGCGTCATTAGAGTCAAATAGTGGGGGTGGATGTAACCTCCACTAACTCCTCAAGATGCTTTCCCCTGCCTAGCATAATCATTTGGATTTTATCAGGACTGCTATAGGCTGTTAAAAGCCAAGACAGATATATGCTGGGAACTGAAATGAGTAATGTGATTGATTTCCACAGTTAAGTGTGCCTCATTTCTGGGTCCAGCGAATGTGATGAAAGGTAGCTGTACTATGTGCATCTTCCTTGTCAGATTCAAAAGCTTGGTGACACCTAAAATTACCAAACAGCAATGTAAATTAGCTGAATGAGTTTGAGACAAATTGAGGATGCTTCATAGAGTGGTAGAAAAGCAAAGTGTGTTGAGGTTAAAACCTAGTACTACTAACTAGCACGAAGCACTGGCTCCCTGGGCCAACCACTTTTTTCCTTTCTAGCACCTCTCAACCTAGTTTTTCCTCTCCTGTGGTGGGGTGGTCCTTCATATAACTCTTGAAATCCTCCATATACAAACAAATATATACATGTTAATCCCAGCTTTACTTCCCCATTGTTGTAGTGATTACCTTCTCTCCAGCTGAGAAGAGGAGAGTTCCCTTCCTAACTTGGTTAAAGTTGGTTATTTTTGAGCAACGCAACATACTTTTCCCTCTTTCAACTCAAACTTTTATCAAGAACTTCAAATCTATAATGTTAAATCTGTTTTTTGTTTTACATTTTGGTTCATACTAGCCATGTGTAAAACTATTTTAATGTGTTCCTGGACACAGATAGAAGAGTCTTTGCCTCTCTTGGGACTTGCAGAAATCAGGGGCTCTTTGGAGACACTAGATGGCAACATTGTTCTAGGGATTGGATAACTGGGAGGTTTGTGAGCTTGGATGGATAGCCATTGCTGAGGAGTACTTGTGGCACCTTATACTCCTTTTCTTTTTGCGAATACAGACTAACACGGCTGCTACTCTGAAACCAACCATTGCAGAGTTATCTTGGTTTTATACTGGAGATCTCTTTGGGTTGAGCTAATTCCAAGAGCTCTTAGATCATTGCTCTAAAAATGTAAGAAGCAGATCCAACCCATTAGTCTTGCCAGTTACACCCACAGGAACCTCACTTTTAGGGGAGGGGTTTCTGAAGAGCTGCTGTTATTACAGTCATCTTTCTACCTGAACTGCCATAATTTCATTCTGCATTTTAATATGATCTCTCTCTGAACTTACCCTGATATGAAAAGGGGAACCTTAAGGTGATGCTCAATTCCATCAAAACAAAGGAGCTCAGAAGAAAGAAAAAAAGTGTTTGCTCAGGCAAACATTGTTGCAGGTGCTTTGACATACCATGCATTTGCACTCACCCCACACAATTCCTTTCGAGTACTCTTTATTGGCATTAAAGTTATACCAATATTACCACACTGTAAAAGGCAACAAAAAAAAAAGTCCATCCATACACATTACAAAAATAGATGGTTGACCTTTATGTGTGGCAGTTTTAAGATGGAATTGTATGGTTTCCAAGGAAACAATGCATGTAAGAGTAGACACTGGCTGAAAAAGAGATATGGGTCATATTTTGACTAAAAATGAATACATCTTCACTCAATCTTGGGTAATTTTTTCATTAAAATAATGAAAACTATGCCCCATTGCCATGGCAACCACCTAAGGGGGGGCGGGTACACCATGCTTCATGTGAGAACATATGATTCTACAGGCATTAAAGTCATTATTTTTCAACTTCTTAGATCACAGTACTTTATACAACTACCTACAAATTGATTTTATGTATTTTTCCTCTGTTTGCTTTAGATTTGACTGCTATGCAGCTGTGGTTCCTGAATGAACAATGGAATCTGATTTAGAAGTTCCCAGAAAGGCTCCATGAACAGAGCAAAGGTCTAAAAACATGAGTGATATGTGATGTAGATGCTCTTTTCACAGAACTGACCAAACCAAGAGACCTGGAATCATGGACCAATCTTTTAAGACAGGGGTTCTCAAACTGGGGGTCGGGGCCCCTCAGGGAGTCGTGAGGTTACCACCTTGGGAGTTGCGAGCTGTCAGCCTCCACCCCAAACCCCACTGTGCCTCCAGCATTTATAATGGTGTTAAATATATAAATTAAAAACACTTTTTATAAGGGGGGGGGTCACACTCAGAGGCTTGCTATGTGAAAGGGGTCACCAGTACAAACGTTTGAGAACTACTGTTTTAAGAGCCATAGAGATCCAAAAATGTGCTACCATTATGCAATATAAAGACACCAATGAAGTACCTAACATATTTCACCATCTGTGACAGGGTGTACAAATGCCACACTGAGCAACAAGGGCTTAAGGGCTCATTTTGGGCTCAGCCAGCCCCGCCTCTCACACCTGCAGCAAATGCTCCATGTGCTAGAGGAATTAAAAGTCAGTGAATTATCTCAGTTGGGGAGCAGTGCTGAAGGTGAGCAGAGAGAAACCTAAAGGCTCTGACACAGCTGCCCAAAGGGGCCCACCATGAGGGAAGAGACAAACAAAGAGGGAAGTATCCTGTGGCCCTGGACAGCGGTGACTCCCTCTTGCTTTCTTTGGATTTTCCCACCAGGCAAAGACCTTGGACTGAGGTGACCCCAGGGGGAGAGATGAGAGGAAGAGGCCAAGGGAGAACAGCCTTAAGTAGTCTTGGTTGCCAGGTTACTGGTAGCTCAAAGGGCCTTGGGTCAGAGCCTGGGGGAGTGTGAGGGCCCAGGCTCCCCTCCCCACAACATCCTTGGCAGTCCAGGGTTGTGGCCATGACCACTAGGCCACGCTTCCCAACCAGACCCTGCGTGGAGACCATTATACCATCTCAATTGTAGAAAGATCACACTCACACACGAAAACTTTGCAACAGCTTGAAAAAACAAGTAGAACCTTGCAACTATAGTGAAGAAATTGGCCATGAATTGTACAAATCAATAAGGGGAATGGGCTCATCATCCACCAGAGTGTATAGAAAAAGTCTATATATTCTGTAACAAAGTATCCACGTATGTGAAAGGGACCAAGTTCGAAGAGCCACTGTGTCTAGCAGTAGATCTCAGGTCAGACAGGAATGTGTGGAAAAGAGCAAAATAGAAGGACAGAAAGATATTGACTGTTACATCAAGAGAGCTGGTAGCAGCAGAGGCACACTGTCGCAATCTTGTTATAGAGCCTACACAAGACCAACAGAAAAGCACCGGTGTCGTTAAGATGATGATGATAGCATATACTCTATGAAAGAAAAAGCAGTATATGATAGGTTATGCAGTTATATCCATGCTGATTTATTTTCAAAGCCTTGTTTTGTATCAATGGTGAATCTCACACAGAAATTTGTGACCAATATGAGCTATCTTGATATTAAAAAATATCAGGCCACAAACAAAGAGACCCATTCAGAGAAAATTAGAAGCAGACTTCAGGAACAGCCTGGAGATTATATCAGATAATCACAAACTTGTGGTGATACCAAACAACCTGTCTAAGGAAATATTAGATTCTCCCTGACTAAGAATGAATTCAGCTCAGAGGCCACTTTTCTCAGAAGAGCCTGATCAGGTCTTGAAGCCATGTACCATGATCAGATGACTGGATTTGAAGAAATCCAACACTGAACAACTATAGCCTCCACCACCAGAGAGGCCTGATGATGATTACACCCTAACGCCAAAATCTCACAGACTTCCTCAAGATGTTGTTAGCAGGGGACACAAACGAAACTATATCATCCTCACAAATTCAAAGATTCATAAAGTCCTTTTCACAAGATTTTATATATGCATTAGTGTAGGTGTGCTGAAACTTGCCA